TGTCTCTCTCTCTCTGTCTCAAAAATAAACTACAAAAAAATTAAAAAAAAAAAAAAAAGAATCTGCTTAGAGGTCCTGAGTCCTGCTAAGGGTGGCTGACCAGTGTGTTCTGTCACCGTGATGTGGAGGGCTGCAGACATTTCTTGTCAGTGATATTTCAACCTCCAACAAACGATTCCTCCCCCTCACTAGTGAGTAAACTGTTAAAGAGAAATGTTAGATTTTGCTCCTGGATCTGCTCATTCTGCACAGATTCTTCTCCCTTACCCAAAATATAATCATTATAACTAACTGGTATGGATTCTTCAGATAAAAGGGTTCAATATTCACTGAGAAAACACTAACCTTGAACTTCAAGGAGAATAGAGATGATGGTACAGTGGAGACTTAAAGACAGATTGATTAGTTCATGAACCAAAAAGACGTTGTTCGTCTGGAAAAAAATACATGAATACGCGAGAGGAACAACTTTTAAGAGTAATCAATGCATAAAAAGTTGTCAGATATAAAGAAAGCACCCTTTCTTTTGTACCTGTGCCAAATAACTTCTTAGCGCCTGCTCAGGGAATGCTTGGCGTCTTTGGAAACTGTTCATTTATCATGATAGCAGATATTTATCTAATGCATATGAAGTACAGAAAAGTGATGCTCCAGGCCACCAGGGTACCTTTTTCTTTATTTTTTTTTTTTCCTTTTCAAATTGTTATTTAAGTATCAGTCAACACCCAGAGCACTACTGGGTTCCGGAGTAGAACCCAGTGATTCATCCCTTACATATAACACCCATTGCCCATCCCCACAAGTGCCCTCCTCAGTGCCCATCACCCATCTATCCCGTCCCCCCACCCCACATCCCTCCGTCAGCCCTCACTCAGTTTGTTCTCTATCATTAAGAGTCTCTGGTTTGTTTCGCTCTCTTCTCTTACCACCCCCCTTCCCATATGTTCATCCGTTCTGTTCCTTAAATTACAACAGTACCTTTTCTTGTGAGCACTACTAAGCATTTCCCGATCGATGAGAGGACGTTGATTCCTTGCCCTGTGAACCCGGCATCCCCTGAACAGGGCTTCCCCGATAAAGTCAAATCCAGTATGTGCTACCGATGTGACTCACTGCCGAGACGGAGAGGCAGGTGTTACCCCTCTTCCCTGTGCGGGCCCTTCCTGTGTTGGGTGGGAAGTTCCCATTTTTCCACACTGGATAAAAACGAAGCCTCTTCTGCCTACTCATCCCAGCACTGGATGAAATGACAGTGTCACACAGAACAGAACAGTCCCTCGGTTGCTTCCACATTCTTTTTTTGGCCTCATTTTCCTTTCTACTGAGTTTTTGAGTCCAAATTTAGTGGTGATGACTAAGAAATTGCCAGGATGTGACAGAGCATTCAGCTCATTGAGTCCTTCCTTGCCATTTTCCAATAGTTGTAACAATCACCAAGCTTTGCCTCCTAACATCGTAGGTGCCGGTATCTGTGTAGTATCTGTTATTCGTAACAGATACTAAATCGCACATGGAGAGGACCTGTCCGTGCAGTGACAGCCTCCTTCTGCAGGCAGCCGTCCCCATATGGTATTAAGGAAGTTCCCTGCAGACTTTTTACTGGTTGGTGCTTCTGAATCCTGGACTTTCCAAAACTCAAATCTGAATCTCTGAAATGCGAACCCTCTAAGTGGTAGTTAAGCAGTCTGCTGTGGGCGAGGCAGTTCGACCGGTCGCCTGCGAGGGTAGAAGGTGGGTTCAGAAAATGCGACCAGTCGCCTGCCATCTGGAGTTGGCCACACCTGTGCTGGAGTCACAGGGCCAGCTAGAGGTGGAGGGAGGGCTGAAGTGTCATCAGTTCTGGCGGAGGATCTCTTCAGAGAGGTCGTCCGTGATTCCAGAGGCAGGCTGAGCCCGGCCTTGAAGGATGAGAGGAAAGCCAATAGGTAAAGACAGAATAACATTCTAAGCAAAGGAAATGAGCGGCATCGGGAAAGGCACAAAGGCTCACATGAGTCTGTGGCAGAGGGTGAGGCCGGAGTCATAGTGGCGACTGGATTGGGGGGAATTTTATTTTATTTGTATTTTTTATTTCTGTTAGCTTTTATTTAGTTTTCAGAGAGGGGAGAGAGAGCGTGAGCAGGAGAGGGTCACAGAGGGAGAGGGAGAGAGAATGCCAAGTAGACCCCATGCTGTCAGCACAGAGCCCCATGCGGGGTTTGATCTCATGAAGCGTGAGATCGTGACCTGAGCCAAAATCAAGAGTCGGAAGCGTCGCCAACCAAGCCACCCAGGTGCCCCATGAATTGTGGAGAATTTTATTTTTTTTTAATGTTTTTTATTTTATTTTTGAGAAAGAGACAGAGACAGAACATGAGCAGGGAAGGGGCAAAGAAAGACGGAGACACAGACCTGAAGCAGGCTCCAGGCTCTGAGCCATCAGCACAGAGCCCAACGCGGGGCTCAAAACCACAAACTGTGAGATCATGACCTGAGCCAAAGTCCGCACTCAACCAACCGAGCCACCCAGGCGCCCCTGGGGAATTTTAGATGCCATGTCAGGATGTTCTTTTTACTGTAAGACAGGTGGCATCCTCAATAGTTCCTAAGGAAGGGACCTTTGCTTTAGGAGGGGAATCCGCAGGCCCAGCGGAGAGGTCAGAAAGCGCAAGCCAGAGCAGTAGCAGTGGCAACGGAAGGTAAAACTCATGGGCTGGAGAGATTGTGGATGAACTTGAAGGTCCCCCAAGGTTTTAAGTGTGAGCAGCTACCAGAATAGGATGGATGGTACTAATTACTGAGACATAGGGGACACAGAAGTGGAATTTAGAGGGACTATGGCTCTTTGTTTTAAGTGTTATCCTACCCCTTTTTCTGGTCTGAATTCCTGCCCATCCTTCAAAGCTCAGCTAAAATAACACCTTCTCTGTGAACCCTGCCCATTTGCAGCCCCCAGCGAGAGTGAAACCCGGCTTCCTCTGTCCTCATAAAACCCCTCCCTTATGCCTCCCTTTCTGTGCTTAGCAGCAGCACACCTGCGTCCACGTCATTTGGGTGCATGGCCGACTCCTGCGAATACGTTGCAAGTTTCCTGAGGCCGCTTCGTATTTACCTGTGAACTCTTAGTGCCACCCAAGCATACAGTGCGTTGTCGGAAAATGTGTATAAATGAATGAATGTTGCCATCACACAAGACGTTAAATGCAGCCGTTTTGCGGCACCGGCCTGAGCACGCAGCCCCCCCTCCCCCCCCCATTCCACCATTTTGGAGTCCATCACATAGTATGTCTATGCGCCTACACAGTATCACTTACCTCAATCATATCCGTTACCGTATTGATTTTCAAATGGTTTCTGACTCTTCATGAAAGTAAAATTCACCCACCAAGGGTGAGATTTTTTTTTTCCCAAATGGTGATTTCATTCCCAAAGAATTTCACCAGCGTTCTATGCAGCTGTCCTCGTCACACTAGATGAGAGGTGGAAACTTGTAGTCAAGTTCCTTTGTAGGCGCACGTTGTATTTCCCTATGTTGAGAATCCTACAGAGGAGTTTTCACAGCCCAGAAACAGAACCCTTTGGTTTCTGCATGCGATGGTCACCTTGGAAGTCCCTTTCTGCTTGACCAGGTTGAATTTGTGTGAACCTTCGGAGGACCTATCACGTGTGCCCCTAGGCGGAAACAACCCCCAGAGATGACTCTGATCCATGCACTCGGTGACATTATGGAGTGACACGGATTTTGTGACTTCCCAGAAGAGAATGTTCTGTTGTTTCACTTTCAGAGAAAGGCTGCCTCATTTGAACAATCTGTCCCTCTTTGCTGAAGTGACTGTCTGAGAGCACTTCAGATTCTGTCGCTCAGATAGTGTGCGTTGCTTAGACCGCTATCTAATATGAAAATGAAAGAAGGTAGGACCATGGAGGCATTGTTCAGAAAAGAGTGGTGTCCAGAAAGCACACAATATTTTTACAGGGTGGTTTCTTTTGTAGGGTTTTATCAGAAGTTACTGCTGATAACATCTGAGCAAATAACTGTTGTTTTCTACCTTATGCTCTACTACTCCGTGGATTACTGAGAGATGAGAATCTGCTATTCATTTCATCGGGCTTACAAATAGGCTATTTTTAATGGCTGTTTATAGCGCACGCACACGTCTGCACAACCTGAAAGAAGGTTTTCAGGTTGTTTTCTTTCTGAAACACTCCGTGGGAGCAAGAGCACTTCATTTGTGTGGGCAAATCCAAAGAAAACACGGCCAAGTACAAGGCAGAAATCACATTCCAGGGTTCAAAGTCCCCTGGGCTGCTCTCTCGTGTCTGCTTGTAGAATTACTGTAAATTCCTTGCTTCTCTATTGATTTGCTTGTAAACGTTACTGTAAAGCAAGGATGAGGCGGGGAGGCGGGGGGGATTTTCTTTTCATTTTTAAGTCAAGGTTCAATGATTAAAAAACAAATCAATTTGGTTTACCTAAAAGCCAAAGGTGGCCTTTCTTTGTAGTGTCCCTCTAGAAATATAGGCAGCCTGTAGTATAACGTTGTAACATGGATCTTAGCCTTGGGCAGTTGACAATTATAGTATGTAGTAACCAGACAGCCTCTGAAAATTAAGTAGAAAGACCAAATGTTTATTTTCTCATATTTAATCCAAACGGCGGACAGGAACAAAGTTCATGTGAAAGCTTTATACTTGTCTTTTCAATCTTTAGCTCTTGTATTTGTCCACTATATTCCAGCTATGCAGCTGGTTCTAATTTTTCCATTATCTTATTACAGAGCGAGCTAATCATTGATCAGTAGCACTTATACTTAGGGCTTTTTCCAAAGCATCACGTGAACTGTTATATATAGTCGTGGTTTCCAGCGACGATAAGTTATGCTATTAAAATAGAGCACCGGTCGTACAAGTTTGAACAAAGTATGTCCAAAAACAAAACTCCTGAAGGAAATACCTGAAGGACAGTCCGTGAAATTCATAGCAGTGCATACTGAGCCGTGGTTTATTCGCTTTTCCTGTAGGAACATTTTACACCGGAGTGCAAATTCAAAGAATCGGTGTTTGAAAATTATTACGTGACCTATTCGTCGATGATATATCGTCAGCAGCAGTCAGGCCGAGGGTGGTATCTGGGTCTGAACAAAGAAGGAGAGATCATGAAAGGAAACCACGTGAAGAAGAACAAGCCTGCAGCCCACTTTCTGCCCAAACCACTGAAAGGTAAACTTGATATGATAGGAACCGTGCATTAAATGAGTGTCAGTACTTCAGTCGGTCCTCTATCATGCTTCTCTAAGCGGACCTTAACTCTTCCCCATTAGGGCAGTTATACCGAAACTGGGTAACGTTCTATCATACTTAAAACCTGAAAGCATTGACCATAGCACCTGATCTTCTGATTTTCATTTTCTCATAGTACATCTATAGATAGTAACACCTTACTTATGTGGGAGTACCTTGACTGCTAACTCAGGAGAGCCAAGAATGCCAAATGATGCCAAAACAGTGCCTGGATAGAAACGCAGATGCTAAAATGTACACTCACGTACCGGGAAGCTCCTTGGGCCCTCGGTGGGGCCCGGCAATATCGTCCCAACAGTTTTCATTCATGGCGTTTGTCTCACAGCCATTAGTAGGAGATTAGTGGCAGATTGGAAAGAACGAGGGATAGAAATGGGGTGCTCAAGATGAGGCTGTTAGAAGACGCTGAGACGTAGTAGAGAAGGGATAGGGACCGTGGCAAAGCAGAGCAAGGCATCCAAGAGGCTGCCGGCCTGGGGTTCGAACTGAGGTCCGAGTAGCGGCGGCCCGTCCCGTCGGATGAGCTTAGCACGCTTAACGGCGATACATTCTGTAGCCAGACTACTCGGATTCAAGTCCCAGTGCCACTCTTTACTAAGCGGATGGTCACGGGTGCACTACTGACCCGTGTGTGGGGCCCTCGAGTTTCTCAACTGTGAAATTACGGATAATTTTAGGTGGATTAAATGAAGTGACATGTGCGAAACACTTAGAACGGTGCCTAGCACGTCGAAAGCGCTCTGCAGGCGGAAGCCAGTGTTGTTACCCATAGCCCAACACCAATAATGCTCAGCGCTTATTGCATTCATTAAGAATTGCACTAACACTTAGACTCTTGGAGAGTATCATCTCGAGTCTGATGGAAATCAGTGTTTTACAGTGTTTTCAGTGTTCATATTTGGCTTGCACAGCGTGCTGTAGATTATATTTAAACTTCGAAGAGCATTATTAAATGCATTTTTTGTTAATCCTCTCATGTACATAACCCGTCAGGGATGGAAATGAGGCATTAGCGTGCCTTGCACACTGCACCAAGGCTCGATTCTGCTTAAGCTGAGCCAGGGGCGTTTTCCGTGTCGGGCTGAAAGCCAGAAGAGGAGCTGGGGGGCCCGTGGGGGGTGCGCATTCGAAGGCCTCTGACTCCACCTGTGTGTGCTTTTCAGTGGCCATGTACAAGGAGCCGTCACTGCACGATCTCACGGAGTTCTCCCGGTCCGGAAGCGGCACCCCAACCAAGAGCAGAAGCGTCTCCGGCGTGCTGAACGGAGGCAAATCCATGAGCCACAATGAATCAACGTAGCCAGTGAGGGCAAAACAAGGGCTCTGTAACAGAACCTTACCTCCAGGTGCTGTTGAATTCTAGCAGGTCCTTCGCCCAAAAGTTCACATGTGTCAGTGACGTTTACCAAACAAACAGGCAGAATTCACTAGTCTATCTGCCCTAAAACCTTCCGATCATCCACACTAAAGCCCCATAATTTCGAGAGAGCTTGTGCAAAAGATGGCCAAGCATGATCAGTGAACTTAAATCCTGGAGAGAAGGGCCTGCCCAATTTTTCTCATGATCTCACCTGTGCTCTGGGGATGACAAGCCAAAAATCTTTCACAGCACTAATGCTAATCAAAATTTGCGCTCCAACCAAGAAAATGTAAAAGACCACAATCGCTCTTCAAAAACAAAAACAAAAACAAAACAAAATTAACTGCTTAAATGTTTTGTAGGGGCAAACAAAACTTCTGTGACCTGTGTTGTTTTCTTGGCTTCATGTTTTCTATCTACGCTTGATTCACACGTATTCTTCACTTTCGTAATAGTGCGACTCCGTGATTTCCAAAATTCAGCGGTTCTACTGACTCTTGTCACTTAATCCAAATCAACCAAATTCAGGGTTGAATCTGAATTGGCCTCTCAGGCTCAAGGTAACAGTGTTCTTGTGATTCTACCAATTTCTTCTTTTTTTTTTTTTTAGATTTGTAGTGTATTCTGGTCAAGTTCTCGTGCTGTATTCTGTGCATAGAAATTGAATCGTATCGTCAACCCCAGTCAGTACAGATTACTTAAAAAAAAAAAAGATTATCCTCAAGTGTAGATTTCTCTTGATTCCATTTGTGTTACCACGTTAAACTATTGTTGTGGCTTCTTGTACAAAGACACGAACTGTGGAAGTGTGGTGTCGTCTTTTGCGTTGTTACAGTAAGAAACGTCCTATCTGTACATGTACTACTGAGTCCTGCTGTTGTTGTATTTGGCATGTGAATATCGTGTACAAGGAAACGTTTAAGACTGGTTACCCCTAACCAACATATACTTATACTTGCTTCTGGAAAAGTGTTTAAGACTTAGCTAGGTTTCCATTTAGATCTTCATATCTGTTGCATGGAAGAAAGTTGGAATCTTGGCATAGAGTTGCATGACATGTAAGATTTTGTGCATTAATAATTGTTAAAATCTGTGTTCCAAAAGTGGACATAGCATGTGCAGGCAGTTTTCTGTCCTGTGCACAAAAAAAAAGTAAAAAAAAAAAGTTGTTTAATATGTGTTGTTGTATACCCAAATACGCACCAAATAAACTCTTTATATTCATTCAAAGAAAAATCCTTCACTGTACACTTATTGTGTTACGTGTCATTAAGTGTCATAGACACTGGAGCTGAATGTTGAATTCCGTATATAAGGTCACTGCCCCCCGCCCATAATCTACGGTCTAGACATTCATATTAACGTGAACACTCCTTCAAGTGTGTCTGTTGTACGACTTCAGATCAGAACAGAGAATTCTCATTCCCACTCAGTGATGCAATTGTACCAATGAGGCCTACGTGCTGGTATTCTCCCTGCCGTTCACACCATCAGTTCCCCTCTCTGTTGCTCATTTCTCTCGGTAGAAGGAAGGTATAGGATTAAATATCTAAAGTCCCTTCCTCCCTCCGAAGGCTGAGGTAAAACGTAAGCGTTTTTCGTGTCAGTGACTTCACACTTAACTCCCCAAAGCTGCCATTGCCTTGCAATGCATGCTTCGGGAATCGTCGATATATGAAGGAAAGAGTGGAGGAACAGGTGAAAGCATAATTGCTTGGTGCATTCCAGGGCATCCATCAAAACAGAGTCCCCCCCCCCCCACCCCCCACTGAGCAGCAAGCTTTTGCACAGAGGGGTGGCTTCCCATTCCTGAGGTGTGTGGGCCAGACTCAGCAGGGGCTCCTAGTCCAGCCCGGTCACCTTGCGATTGCATCTTAAGCCCTCACCCTGTCCAAGCTCGGAAGGCTCCCTGCATGAAGTGAGGCTGCCTGGCTAGCTCCGACTCCGGGGCCTTTTATGTACCACGTGTAGAATCACTCAACCTGCCCCTTAGTAAGTCTTAACGAGTTTTCCATCGTAGAGAAAAGTAACACATCGTCTTCCTCTTGTTCCAAGGATTTGGGGGGTTGGTTATTGACCATTTTGGTAGCTGGTTTCGCTCTCTCGTTGTTCAGAAACAGCATAGGTCTGCTGGCAATAAGCAGATCGGAACATTGGTGTCCGGGGGAAGCTGGGTGTAACTAAACAGTGGCCGAAATACCCAGGGCGAATCTGTCAGCCCCAGCATTCTCTTTGGGCCATTTCAAGTTGTTTTTAACGGAAAGTGGTGTTTAAGTAAATCGAGAATTCAGTAGCCATCCTAGAACCCTGCCTACAAGTGACAATTTCACACATCATCATGCACACACATACACCCTTCTATGGTAGAAAGTATTAGCTCCGCTACAGGCTTGATGAACGGTTTTGGAAAATGCTGCAAAGACTGTGGGCTCCCAGACCTCAGTACACGTCAGAAGCACCTACAAGGCCTATGAGAACCCAGCCTGCTGAACCCCACCTCCAGAGTTTCTGCTGAGGCCCAGGGGGGGCTCAAGACTTCGGATGTCTAACAACTTCACAGGTGACACAGTGTTGGTCCTGGGGAAGCACTCCCTGAGAACCAGACATACACTTGTCCCTTCTTCGGGATTCAGAATGTGCTGTTAGCACGCTGAATTCTAAAAGGCCCTGTGATAAGGAAGCCTGCTCACTTTCGAGAAATACTGGGAGAAGGAGATGTATTTGGCCACAAATCCGTAGTCGCACAGAGCACATACTGACCCCCAGGCTCAAGCCTCTCGCGGGCACCTGAGTCACATGCGCTGTGCATCCACTTCCGTGGCTTTAGGTGAGGCCTGGGAATCTTGAATCCGATGCCCACCCCAGTTTGAGGACCCCTGCTCTATGACACAGCACCCAATTTCATATTGTCCCCACGGTCTGGGAGCGTGTATCCAATCCCTGCATTGTACTCTGCTCGGGCAACGATACAGAAAATAACACTGTCTTTGAGTTACTCATAACTATTGAAAAGCAAAACAGCGGCGCTTGGGTGGTTCAGCGGTTAAGCAAGCGTCCGACTTGGGCTCGGATCATGATCTTGCAGTTCGTGAGTTCGAGTCCCAGTCCCGCGTTGGGCTCTGTTGCTGACAGCGCGCTTTCGTCTCCTCTCTGTCCCTCCCCTGCGTACGCTCTCGCTCAAACATTAAAAAGTAAATAAATAAAAGCAAAACAAATGGCAGCATTTTCCCTCCAGGAGTTGTTTGTATCTAGAGGGAGCACATACTCATTGCCATGGAACCCTCAAACGGTCGAGGGGAGCAGGGACCGACAGTCTTTTTCAGACAGCCTAGGCTTTTCATACCATGCTTCTCAAAATTCCTCCACCCCTTGCCCAGAGCCATTGTAAATGTACAATGCATTTTAGGTATTGATTATAGCAGCAGCCACTTGCCAGTCCCCAAGTCTGTACAGGGATGTGACAGTGGTATAATGGATGACCACTTCCAATCAGAAAAACCAGTGGAAGGGTGCCTGGCTGGCTCAGGGTCTTGATCTCAGGGGCGCGAGTTCAAGCCCCATGATGGGCGTGGAGCCTACTTTAGAAAACAAACAGTGGAGAACTGTAGCTAAGGCGGGGCACACTAGTACCCCACGTTATGAACCATATTTACGATGACAAGTTTTCATACTTTTCGTCACTTTGGATGCGAAGATGTGGCCCCGTGGCTTGGGTTGATGCGTCTGGTTACCCTGGAACGAAGGCACCAGGCTGACACACTTCCTTATTCCGTCAGTTAGCGTTGTGCCTTTTCCCCCTGAGGACTGAGAATCCTACATGCTCTAGTACACACAACAGGCTGTGTTTCTAATTCTCGGCTGCTTTTTAGGTCTAAATGAGAAAGAAAGAGAGGGGCGCCTGGGTGGCTCAGCCGGTTAAGCGTCCAACCTCGGCCCAGGTCATGATCTCACGGTTCGTGGGTTCAAGCCCTGCATTAGGTTCTTTGCTGACAGCTCAGAGCCTGGAGCCTGCTTCTGATTCTGTGTCTCCCTCTCTCTCTGACCCTCCCCTGCTCATGCGCACTCTGTCTCTCTCAGAAATAAGTAAAACATTAAGGAAAAAAAAGAGAAAAATCCAAACTTGGAGAAACAGCATGTGGGTGTTACTCTTTCAGAGAACTTTCCCGGACCCTTCTATTTTTTTTTTTAAATTTTTTTTATGTTTTTATTTTTGAGAGAGAGACAGAGTGCGAACAGGGGCAGGGCAGAGAGAAAGGGAGACCCAGAATCTGAAGCAGGCTCCAGGCTCTGAGCTGTCAGTGCAGAGTCTGAGGCGGGGCTCGAACTCACCAACTGTGAGAGCATGACCTGAGCTGAAGTCAGATGCTTAACCAACTGAGCTACCCAGTTGCTCCCTATTTATTTATTTTTGTCAAGTTTCATTTATTCAAGTAATCTCTACACCCATCGTGGGGCTCGAACTCACCACCCCAAGATCAAGAGTCACATGCTCTTCTGACTGAGCCAGCCAGGCGCCCCTCTGCTGGACCTTTTTAATCTCCTAAACATTTTGCCGCTTTTTAAATGTTAGTTTGAATTCGTCGCACCGAGAACAATAATCTTTGCCAAATCAACCAGCCCTTTTGCTAATATCACATGAGTACAAGTGTCTGGTATTGTCTTCATCACATTTACTCTAATAAAAACTACAGAAAAGTACATGGCAGCATTTTGGGAGGATTCCAGTTTCTCTGTGGGCATTCTTCAAGAGGTTTGTAACAGCTGCAAGTCTGTCATTGTGCAGGAAGTCTTTCTAGAACACTCAATGTGGATGGTTTTCAGTATTAGAATTCTAAACTAAACTAACCAAATAGCAATCCCATTTCTCCTTTCCTATTAGTGTTTTTTTTTTAATTTTATGTCTATTATTAAGACAGAAACAGAGCATGAGTAGGGGAGGAGTGGAGAGAGAGGGAGACACAGAATCGGAAACAGGCTCCAGGCTCTAAGCTGTCAGCACAGATCGCGACGTGGGGCTTAAACCTACGAACCGTGAGATCATGACCTGGGCCGAGGTTGGACGCTTAACCGACTGAGCCAGCTAGGCGCCCCTTTATTAGTTTGTGCTACAAACACTCTGCTTCTCTCTCTCTCTCTTTCTCTCTCTCTCTCTCCCCCCTCTTTCCCTCTCTCTCATATGGTCACATCGCACAGGCACACAACATGCAGATGTGGGTGCTGAAAGGTCTCAAAGATGCTCTGTCCTCTGAGAGGGTGAACGTAGATCTATTCAGTAGGGAGACTGGAACAGACATTAAAACGCCAGTCCTCCCCGGCCCTACCAGCCATGACACTTACGTACACTAAGGAGTGTCACCCAGGCCCATCCCCTCAACATGTTCACATGTCTGCACATTCTGTCCCCTAAATAATTCTGCCCGCCCTTGCAGTAATTTGTTTGCCGTTGTGTAAAGTTAACAATTAGAGTAAGAGAAATATACGAGGGTGGAGAATGAGTGAAAGCTCAGCTCCCTTATTGCTCACCTTGTGGGCTCCGTGGATATTTACTACCTTCTAAGCTGTCAGCGCAGCGCAGCAGGTGACTGAGGCCTGGATAAAGCACTCCCGCAAGGACAAATGGATTGAGACTGAGTCAGTCTTGCAGGAAAAGAGATAGTCTGGGGTTTAGCAACAGGGAAGTTTTATTTGCTTACCGGAATTAATAAAGTGGAACTCCAGTTGGAAATAATTATTCATGTCTCCATTCCGTCCATACGTGAGTGAACCTCTCCGTTGCTAATACCCTTGTACAAACTGGATGCTTCCTACACAAGTGTTTTTTTCTTCTTTCAAAACTGCAAAACCAGAAAGAATTCATCCTCAAAGGCTGGCTATATAATACAGTTTCCCCTTTAATATAAAATCGCTGGACAAAACAGTTTGATCGATGCTGGAGTTTCGTGGGTTCATGGGCATTAGGGACATTCCAAAATACGTAATGATTATTTTCACCAACATACTGAATGCCAAATACACACAGAACACTGCCCTATGAGGGGTGTGTGTGTGCGTGCATGTGTGTGTGTGTGTGTGTTGTGGGGTAGTACGCTAAGTAGTCTTGCTACCTACTCTCAAGGAGATTTCAGTAAAGAGATCTTCAAATGTCATTTGA